GGGGGGGTGAGTTGGACGGCAGTCGTACCTTCTCGAGCATCTGGTCCGAGTCGTTGAAGTCGCGCAGCATCGACTCGATGTCAGCCTCATTGGGCACACGCGGCAGGAACACGCCAAACTTCCGCTGTATTCGCTGCATTGTGACGAGCGGGCGACAATTGGCCGCGACGCTGGAGGAGCAGCGATAGGAAACGTGTCCGGAGGGGACAGTGAGGAGAAGGGACGGCGACTAGTACAGCTGTGTGTGTGTGTGGATGTGTTACTAGGCGGGGAGTGGGCCGTCTAGCGGTTAATGGCAAGAGAGGTGAAAAGCTTCCCAAGGTTGGTTGAACTGCTCGCGGGATGCGCAATTGGGGCCAGGCAACCAAGAGGCCCGCGTTTCAGCCGCAGCAGAGCTTCCAGAGCGGTCAGGATTTGGGGGATTAATTGCGGCGTCACCCTCCCTCATGTCCATGCTGCAGGCGGACATTGTCGAGGGGGCGCAGGCGGGTGTATTGCAGCTTGTGCGACACTATGACCGTGGGGTCCCAGCCACTCGGGGGTCACATGCTTTGGTGACGAGCCTAGGGTTCGCATTGGCAGCCCGGCGCGTCGAGCATCCCACTCCCGCCCACTTCCACACATCTTCCACCCACTTCCACTTACCCCAGTACAGTTCCGCTGGCTTGACGGCATGTCTACGACTCTGAATGCTCTCTCGACGCGCCCCAGCCAAGCATCCTCACTATGACGGCTCCTCTTCGTACTACGCCGCGTCTCTCTGACATCCCCGCGTCCCAGAACACGGCACCCGTAGAAGAGTTCCGCTGCCTCTTCACCCATGATCTGCGCCGGAAGCAGAAGAGATGGCACGATGGATTCCTCAAATTCCACTCCTTCAACAGCCGCGTCATGGTGTACGATGCGACCCGCAACTTCCTCGGAGACACATACTGGAAAGACAGCACCACCATCCAGGAGGGCGGTGAGCTCACACTGGACAAGGGCATTATGGTGGAGGTGACAGAAGCTATGGGGGTGACGCAGACGGACTTGACCCCGCTGTTTGAAAAAAAAACGAGGCAGTCTCCGCAGTGCAAGCGTGTCATGCCTGCAGCGAGAGCCCCCCCTCGGCCATTGGTTCCCCCGCCCAACGGTATCAGGAATGGCTCTCAGTTACGGCACAAGTCTCTAAATACCCTGCTCGGAACGCCAAAGGGGCCGATCGGGAAGGCGGCGCCGCTGAAGTCACCCTACGACGTGCGGAAAGAGAAGGTGAAAGAGAATGAATGGCCCGAGGGACGGGCACCAAAGAGGCAGAAGATTAGACATGCTACAATTTCTCCACAGCCGTTGAGCCCTGTAAGAGCCAAGCAATCTCCCCAAAGAAAGGATCCACCCCTATGGGTGAGGACATCGGACTCAAAGGCAATTCCTCCACCCCGCAAGCCAAATCCACAAGGAGCTACAATCATCAGCCTGAACTCCGAACCGGACTATGTCCCCTCAGACATCATTTTGCCCAGCACTCCGCCGGGAATGGAGAAACCAAGGCCTCCACCTAGTCCCGTTCCCGCGATTCCGCCAGCTATGACAAAGGAAGTCCCTGTCCAAATGACGCTACAACTGCCAAAGCGGAAGATACAACTCCCCAAATCGAAGCGCAAGGCGACCCCTCAGCCACCTCCACGTTCCTCGTCTCCTCCGGTTAGCGCTTCTAACCGTCTCAGCAACATAGACTTCGCTTTAGCACAGACGAAGAAGGCTCGGAAAGATGTCTGCCCACCCAATTCACCACTCCGGGATCCCAGAGCAAAATCTCTCCGCCTCTCTACCAGCAACAGACGTGGATTACTCCTCTGTCAATCACTACCACAACGAGCAGAACCTTCCGAAGAACGGCCCCGGAAGTCGAAAGAGAAGGACAATAGTGCCTCAAGATTTCAACCCGTTCCGTGGCCCTCTGATAGCGACGAATCACTAGTTCAGCGCAAGACATCGAGATCGGGCGCGACAGTGAATGGAAAAGATAGGAAGAGGAAGACAACATCAGCAATTAAGAATAGAAGACCCCAGGTTGCCGAACTAGTAACATCTCCCCAGTCTTCTCTCGACGCCATTGAGGACATGACAATTATCCACGGACTCATGGACCAGCGCCTGATAGTTCCTAAAGAAGCCTCTAGACCAGAAACACGACGAAACCCCTCCTCTCCACCTGCAGTAAATCTCCCAAAACCCAAACCAGCAAAGAAGTTGCCCCCCGAATGGCAGAGCTTATCTAAAGTCGCCATGCCCAAGCCAGCCCCTACGAAGAGATGTCTAGATAGGAACCCAAACCCGCAAGAGGATGTATCTCCCATCGGCCAATCGTCCAGACCCACCAAATCCAACCCTCCACCTCGCAACGAGCCTCACCCCCAGACCCTCTCCAACCCTTTCCGTCCCTCCCTCTCGCCCTGCGAACCCGCCCTCTCCACCGTAGGCTTCCACAAAAAGCCCAAACGGAACCAGAAGTTACAACCAAACAGCGGCTCGAATGCCAAACCCAATCCCAGTCCGCAAAAGCGCACCAAATCTGCACCCCGACTTCCCCCTGCCCCAGCAGTCATCAAACCTGCCAGTGTCGCCAAACTCGGGCGAATGAGCACTACGGAGCTGTCTCTCTTGCTCGACCCTATTGATGATAGTAGTCAGCCCTCCTCAGTCTCCAAGTCTCCAAACCGCCCTTTCCGCCGCGTGCGCTCTGCAAATGATGCCGATCCTCCGGTACCTTCGACGGTTGAGGAATGGGAGAAACGGAATCTGCCCAATGCCGACGCCAACACCACTGCTTCCACCTCCAACCCTGCAAAACCCAACACCAACACCAACATCCCAACTCCACCCCCGAAATCCGGTCTCGCAGCTCTAATCAACAAAACCGATCCCCGGCGGAAGTTCATCCGGACTCAGAGTCTGAACGTAGATACTAGTATCGAGGTAGGGAAGGCGGGGGCCGATGTGAATCCGATGCTCCAGAGTCCGCCTATGGACACTGATGTAGGACCTTGGAGTACGGAGGCGTATGATCTGTTTGATTGGAGACCGCCCAGGAGGGTGGGTGATACGGGTGAGGGGGTTATTGGGACTCTGGTAGGTATATGAATCGATAACTTGTAGATATACATTTAGTACAAGAAAAATGGATAAATGTTAATAAGTATATTGTTTTCTTTGGGTCGCTGCGAGAATGATACCCTCAGTGCAAGTAACCGCATATTGGGATTGGGGGACTGTCACGGATATGCTACGAACAAGGGATAGAAGCTCAAAGAAGAGCATTCATAGATTGTTCCGTACTGTATCTAGTGAACGTCGAAGACGTTTCGTGAAGAGGGAAACGGGAAGCTGGACAGGTTCCAGCAAATGTTTGATGGTGGTAGCTCGAGCGATAGCGCGAGGTCTATGCGCGAGCACGTGATTAGTATCAGGTTTCGTAGAAAGCATCCCTGAAAGGCCACATACCTACAGTGTTGCGAAAATACGTAGATTATCTTTAGTATTAAATATTTAGGTATAGAGGAGGCTAATAATACTCTAAACCTTAAGAAACTTAGCGGTGTAGTATAGAATGCTAGGCTCAGAGTTAATTAGGTAGCTTATTGAAAAGATCCTAGGCTTATAGATAATCTAGGAGACTATCCCTAGGAAATATTTTAAAGACACGGGACTAAGATATAGCATGTGCTGGAAGTCTTGAGAATGAAGGCGGGCGTCTCGGTCGACTTTTGTCATGGGTCGGATCCTCGGCGGCATCTCCTTTGCCCACGGAGTGACTTGGACCCTCGAGAAGTGGTATGAAGGACTTCAGCAAGGTGGTAGTGAAAAATATCGGTTATCAACGATGATAGCGCTAGTTACAAGGAGATCATCTTCCGCTGAGTACCCCGAAAAGGAACTCCAGATGCTAGCTTCTTCGCCTTTGCCACCACACTCTTTTTCAAGTTCTCCCCTTCACTAAGATCTTCATTATCCCTCTCCTCAGCCTTGATCATAGACTTCACCAATGCCGTCATAGCCTCCTTGATCGACTCGTTGCTAAACGCACTCAGTTCAAAGAATTGCATGCCCATTGACTCAGCCCACTCTTGCGCAACATCTCTATCAACCTCCCTCTTCTCTTGGCCAAGGTCGAGTTTATTGCCCACAAGAATGCATCCAAAGCGCTGCATTCCCGCAGGGTAAGACCTGAGTGTCGTTGTATTTTCCCGGTACATCCGCCTCCAGCGGCAAGCATCCAAATATCCTTCATTCACAATATGCTCATAGCTAGCCTTTGACGTGATGTCGTACAGGAATATGATTCCATCAGCGTCCCTCAGCATTTTAACGAAATAACGGGGAGCAAAGCCCGTCTCCCCTGGGAGATCGGACTCTTGGAAAAGACTGGCCCTCAGGTCGACTAAGCGAAGCGACCAGGCTAGGCCATCTATGACCACGCGTTTGCGCTCTGGTGTGGTCACGGTAGGATCATAGAATGCGAAATGCCGCTCTCGCATAAACTAGTGGGTTGAGTCAAGGCCACATGGGATGTGGTTGAGAGGCATACCATGTCAGTGAAGCATGTTTTACCCACGCCACCTTCTCCGAATATGATGACCTCCTTTTCTATTGCTGGCATTGTCTGTAGACTGTACTTTAGTTGGAGGCTTGGGAGGGCCATGGGGTTGACACCAGAAGAGAGTTGAGATGATACCAAGCGCCTTCCAACGACGCTAAACCTAGAACGAGCTCTGCGATACGGGTGAATGCAATGCAACTTAAGACGTCATGCATCCTTCAAACACCCACTCATTCGCCAGTGTCAATTCCCATCTCCGCACCTTTAGGATCAATCGCATAAGGCATCCACACACCTGTTCATTGCCTGTCCCAATAATAGCATCACGTCAACCGACGCCAAGTTTCGTGATTCCCTTGGCTCTTGGCAGTTGTTCCGACAGCCGATCCTCCAGCCAAAGGAGCCACTAACACCCAACAAGGTCATGGCACAAGACAATGACCCGCTTTCGGGGCAGGACAATACTGGCACGACTCTCTCACCTTCCAGCTATCATCCTCAACCTCAAAATACCCATGTCAACGACACCTTCCCTCCTCGCTCCAAAGTAGATCTCTCCTCCAAGCCGCGTCATCGATTGAAACAACAAACTTCCACAACCCGCAGTTCGCCAAAGTGTACCAACACTACATGGTTACGCTCGTCCACACGGACAAGCCCGCCACCAAATATAGTTACATCCACAAAGCCTTCCCCCGAATCAATGTCCTACCGCGGCATTGACGTAAAATCAACCACCAGTCGACCCCTCGTGGAGCTCATTCCCAACGACAACCTCTACGTGTCTGACGAAGACGAAAGCTTTTACGCTAAAGAAGACGATCATTTCATCCCCCCACATTGGAAAGCTATGATCTACCGCACTTCGAACCGAATTCCTCGCAGAATTCAGCGGTATTTCGTCATCTACTTTACCCTGCTTCTTATCACGTATATTTCGTGGAAATCGTACCTGGGCCCGCGGTGGGAGGCGAATCGACAGGAATTGAGGGAGATGGATGATATTCCGCAGGCAGCCTTTGGGAGTAACATGCGGCCAGATTTTACGGATATGATTCAGGTTAAGACGATGGACGAGAGGCATTTGCCGAAAGGTGCTGAAGGCAAGAGATTAATTGTCGTCGGAGATGTGCATGGGTGTAAAGAGGAGTTGGACGCGTTGTTAAAGAAGGTCGAGTTCAAGGAGGAGAGTGATCATTTAATACTAACGGGAGACATGATCGCGAAAGGTATAACCCCCACCTATAAGCCCTAGAGACAAAGTGTTAACACGCAGCTTTCCCTAGGCCCCGATTCCCCAGGCGTAATCTCGCTCGCGCAAAAACTCGGCGCATCCGCAGTACGGGGCAACCACGAAGACCGGACCCTCCTTTCCATCGCTGAAATGCGCGCCCACCATGCCCCACTCCCTGGCCCGGAAGAACCCACCGACCGCTCCTCCGACTTCCTCGACGAAGAATCTTTCTCGCACGGCGACTACCCGATCCGGAAACTCGCAAAGCAATTCTCGCGTGAGCAAATAGATTGGCTGAAACAATGCCCCGTCATCCTCAAAGTCGGCCCTGTCGAAGGCTCCGGCGAGTTGGTCGTAGTCCACGCCGGACTCGTCCCCGGGGTCCCACTCGAACGCCAGGATCCGTTTCAGTGCATGAATATGCGGACGATTGATCTAAAGACACGTTTGCCGTCAGAAAACCGTGATGGCACACCGTGGGAAAAATTCTGGAACCATCAACAAGCGAAACTTCCTGCTCATGAACGCATGACGGTGATTTATGGGCATGATAGGAAGAGGGGGAAGAATATTATGAAGTACAGTAAGGGGCTGGATTCGGGATGTGTGAGTGGTGGGCATTTGACTGCGTTGGTGATTGAGGAAGGGAAGACTACGCTGGTTAGTATGAAGTGTAAGACTTATATTCAGTAAAAGCGGTGTGTTAGACGTTGTACGCTGTGTACTTTAGATACGGATCGAATATCGGGCGTTTGGATAAGGACTGGAATTCGAGGAGAGACCCTTCTTTGGATAGGGTATGGGGGCGGCCGGGTCGTCTGAGATGATGATACCCTGCGCTCACGACTCTTATGCATGTGTGACGAATGCATACTTTGCGTTTCTAGCCTGATCAATTGGCGTAGAGGCGTTTGGATTAGGTGCAGCTTTCGGGGCAAGATGGATCCCCGGGCCGTATTTCTGTCGTAGAGTGTGAAGGACCCTGGAGAGGACCTTCGCACAAGTAATTCTATCAGACTAAGATTACTTCTTCCCTTCACTCTGTCGGCACCATTGCATTCAGTCCAAAATATAGCCTAGGAAAAGTGATAGTTGGGGCTCACACTCACGATAGGCCAAGACTTACATATATCTTAGTTCTACCGATGTAGATCTTCAAACCTCATTCCCATCCGCAGCAACCAACTCCACATTCGCATCTATCAGTTTCCTACCACCAAATCTCCGCACAAACCCCGGAAATATCTCCGGAAATGCGAGCAGCAGTATAGTCTGCATATGTTCATGTCCTCGCCCACTTCCACGCCGCTTCTGCTCCCCTCTGGCACCCACTCGCATTCTCATCCCCATTCCCAACACCATTGCTCCGCCCCACTAGCACTATTTATGTCCCCTTCCCTCGACTTCTCCCACCGCACCCAATAATTCCAGATAGCAACTGTGAGAACCGTGACCGGGACCGCGAAAGCGAAGTACTGCCATAAGGACTTCGCAACAATGAGCTGGCGCGTGGAAGTGTCGAATTGGAAGAAGTTCATTCCGAAGATTGCCTGCAATGGAGTTAGGGTGGATGGGGTGGGGGTAATTGGAGGGTGTGTTTTGGGGGAGAAGAGAGGTTCAGTGGGATAAGGAAAGGGGGAGGAGGTAGAAGGAGCTGGGGTGTGAGAGAAAAGTGAGGAAGGAGGAGTCATCTTACTGCAATAAACGTCCCGGGGAGCAGCAGCAAAGTAACATAAGCAATCGTCCGCATTGGTATCGCATCACCACGAACAGCTTGTGCGATTTGTAAACTAGCTTTCGCCATCTCGACTTGCGCTTTTGCCATTTCGACTTGGGTTTCCGCCTTTTCGACCTGGGTTTTAGAGTCGATTTGGGAGAGGACTGTGCAGAGCTTTATCTTTTTAGGATTTGCACAAGAAGAACATGGCTGTTGCAGACGGACAAGCGGTGAAGAAAAGGAAGGGGGGAGGGCGAGGGGGAACCACATACCACAGCAATAGTATTCTCGTTCCTCTTCTGCATACACTCAACCTGACACTCAAAATTCTCCAACAACCCGATTCGATTCCTAAACCTCTCTTTTCTTTCCACACCACCTATCTCCAAACCTAACCTCCTCCCTCCATCCCCATCCTTATCCACCTCCAGACACCCCTCTATCTCTTCTAACACTTCTACCAGCTTCCTCGCAAGCTGCGTCGCGAACTTAAATCTCCTCTGCAGATACGCTAACGTCGTATTAAACGTAGTCGCGCGCTGCATCGTCTCCCTAAACTCGCTGAAGCTAAAATTCCACACAGTATTAAATGGATATACGTGCGAGACGCCGGTTCGTCGTTCATCAGCGAAGTGTTTCTGCTCTTCCGGGAGGCGGATTCGAAGGTTGAGGTGCATGGTTATCATATCCAGTAGGATTTCTGGAAGCATAAGCGGATGCCCGAGTTGTGGTGATGCGGATTTCAAGTATTTTTCCAAGTCGGACATGTCTATGTCAGCAATACCGTCTAGGAAACCGGTTGTGCGGCCAGTGCTAGCATGCCAGGTAAGTGCGAAGGACCAATTTGAGCCGTGGGTGGTTACGGAGGAATGGGCGGAGCGGATTAAGAATTATGTGGAGGGTTAGTTGGGACGAGGGGGTGTGGGGGTGGGGGAGGTACTGAGACCGATTAATTCACCTTTCGGGTCTCTCCAAGAATGGTAAGCAAGCCCGCCCGATTCACTAGCGTAGGTGCGAAAATCGTAGAAGTCTTCGTGGAGAGAGAGACCTCTGAAGACTTTTCTGAAGTGTGCGGGTCGGAAGGGCATCCATCGAGCTGGGACGTCTTGTCGTCCTAGCTGACTGTGTCTCGCGAGGCTACCTTGATGAATTGAAGGAATTCGAATGGATTTTATTATGAGAAACATACAGAAGATCAACACCTGGAGTCTTGTTGGACGATATCTGGAACTTTGAGTCAGCACTGATGTTGACCATTATAGATGATGATATGCAGACCATTTTTTCAACCCAATCATCAATCCCACAAATATCCATCCCAACCACCTCAAGCTCCGCAGTCTGACCAGCATTGTAGCTAAGGGTGAAAAACTTCCATTCCTCGGCTTTGCAGCATTCGCTCTCGTTCTCATCCATCAGCCTCCCGTACAACTGGGCGAAAGGATCGAAATTTGAATCCATAATATCCCAACGTACACTAGAAAACAAGAGTAGGATAGATCAACGCTAAAAGCAAATGATATACATCAATCATAGTGAGCAATTTTACCGACCGGTACAGTAGGCATCAATGGAGGGCTTATCGAAGCTGAAGAAGTTGGCAATGACGAGCAGATTAGCCTTCCTTTCCAGGAAGAAGGGGGCTAGTCCTAATTAGGAATGATTACGTAACAGCTCGCTTACGCGCACGGCCGCCACAATAAACAATCTAACCAACCCAGCTTCACATCTCCTCCTGCCACGCCCACCAACCCACCTAACTAGGGCAGTGCGACCTTACTAGCTAATCCTAAACTGCTAAGGACACTACAGGTACACATCTTACCCTATCTGCACGTTTTAGGTTAAAATCTAATTAGAACAGCCTCTAACACCCTTTACTTACTTCTAACGCAGCAGATTGTGTCTAATAACACTATAATAATACTAAATAACAACTAGTTATAACTTAATAATAAGCCTTTATTACTAAAAATTAATACTAAGGTTATTATTAATTTCTAAGGTAAAGGCTTAACTAAAAGCTAAAACCTCTTAGCTAAAAAGGCTAGTGCTAATAGTAATAGTAAGTTTTACCTTACACATGTTATAATCTAGGGCTAATTAGGAAAAATAGAGGCGCTAGACAATAACAAACCCACCCTATTAAATAACATGTTATTAGGACCTACCTTTTTACCTTCTGTGCCTAATACGTCTTAACTAGAAGACACGTAGTCTTGCCTAAGTCTAATAGCATTATAGGCAGGACTAAACTAGACAGTGCCTGCCCACGCCTTTAGCCAGACTAGACTAGACAGCTTGCAGAGCAGCTAAGATTAGAGCTAGTAATAGTATAGTAAAAGTGTAAGTAAATCTAGATTAATCTAGATTAATATAACTTAAAAAAAAATTAAACTAATAATATCTTTTTACAGCCTACCTCTACTTATATCTAACTTATATCTAGCTATAGAGAACATTAGCAGTAATTTACCTGTTAGCTAAGTTGCAGACTATATCTGCTACTGCAAGGTCTATATCTGCAGGCCTAGAGTTAATATCTGCAGGCTTAGGGTCTGTACTAGAACACCTAGTAGCCTTAATATAAAGCACCTCTGTTTGCTTTAGGCAGACTGTACCCTTTCTAGCAGCAGTTTATGCCACTATATTCCTAGTATAGACATTACAGATATAGCATAGGTTAGGCCCTACCTGCTCTAACCCTAATTATTTTGCTTTATTAGATAGATTTAGCTAAAGCTAGGTTAAAGCTAACTAAAGGTAAAAAAAAAAGAAAGATTATACTTTAGCCTAAACTTTTAAGTAGTAAATTTAAGTAGTCTAACTTTTCTATAAAAAACACTAATTTATATAAAATTATTAATCTAAAGCTGCTATATAAAGGGGTCTAGACTGCTGTAAAGATAATAGGACTCTCTAGGCGCCTAATAGACTCTAAGTTTATAAAGGATTTAAATGTAAAAGTTACAACAGCCTATTTAAAGTTAGTTAAGATGCAAATAAATTAGATTATTATAGTGTGTACATAAGTTAATCCTCTTTAGAACAGCTTTAACTTAGTTTTAATTAAAGTCACACGCCCTAAAGCAGCTAAGGCACTAGTAGCCTTTATAGTAGGTTAGATCTTACAGGATCTCTACTAGAAATGCTTAAAGAAAAATAGTAAGTTTATCTACTATGTATATGTCTCTAACTATTTTAGCTATAGTTGTGCAAATTATTACTATAGTGCAAAAGGTAAAAGTTATAATTTTTAAAGTAAGTTATTCTTTTTCTAAATAAGATATACTTAGATACTAACATATATTAGCAGATTAAACTAAATTTATTAAATAAAATAAAGTCTATTAGCTAAAAAAAAAGAAAGCAATGCCTAAAGATATTACTACCTCCCTAAAAAGCATCCCTACTCTGTAGAAAAGTCTAGCTGTGCTAACATCCACTCTAACACTAAAAGGGCCTAGATTAGCTTTAACTAAGGCAGATCTAAGCCCCTAAAAAGCTACTTTAGTTTTAATCTATAATAAACCTACTATTCCTTATAATCTAGTTATAGCCTTTATAATTAACTTGTTTAGTCACTAAGTTCTAAAGACTAGGGCCTAGCCTATACAGCAAAATATGTACACAGCTCTACTAATTATAATTAAGTTATTCTAAGAAGTAATTTTTATAGATAATAAATTACTACAGTCCTAGTTTAGTTAGGTCTAGGACTAGATTAAAAATATAATAGAACTTATAACAGATAAGTGCATAGAACTTAGTAAGGTAATGCAGTCCCTATTATCCTAGTTTAACATAGTAGTAGATGTTAGCATAGCTTTTAATGCTAAAAAGGGCCTAGCTAATAGTAATAAAAAAAAAGTAAAAAAGCCTATAGACAACACTAACATAGCTAAGAGTTAATCTAAAAAAGATAAGGACTTAGAAAATACTAATAATAAAAAGTTTATAGCTACTAATAACATAAAGGTTTCTACTAACACTTCTTTAAGTTCTAACTTTCTATTTATTAAAAAAGTTAAGACTTAATTAGCTATAAAATAATCTTATAATAAACACTTAATCTAGTTAGAGTTAAGTAATATTAGGAAAAAAAAAGTTAAGACTGCAGCAAATAATCTAGGCTACACTAATATAACTGTCCTTATAAAAAGCACACTAAAGAAAAGGAAATTTTTTAAAAAGTGTAAGCATAGGCTTAATAATTATTAGTATCTTTTTTAGACTAATTAAAGTAGACCCTAAAAGCATTAGGTAGAGTTAGTAGGGTTACTTTTAGTTTACTAGGTTTAGATAGTTAGTTTATTTTTTAGATAGATGTAAGTTAGTGTAGCAGCAGTTTACTCTAGCACTACACCTACTAACGCTTTCCCTGCTAGAGTTAACAGATTAACCTTATAATAATATACTTACTATATAAAGAATAGCGTTTATAATCTTATAATAGGTAGCTAATATAATTAGATTATAGGCTGCACATAACTATTCTTATAATAGATATAAAGTAAATTAGTAGCTATATATTATTAAGACCTTTAAAAAAATAATGCTAAAGCTTAAGACCTTAAACACCTATAAACTTTCTTAACTTCTTAGGGTAAGTAGTATCTTTATTAATTTAATTAGTAAAATATTTTTTTTACTTTTAATATTAATTATCTGCCTTTTTTTTCTAACTAGACTAGTGCTAATAAGCCTAATCTATGCGCCTAATTACCTAATAACAGATCTACACTAATTAGAGATTCTGTAACATGCTACTATTATAGTAGCTTGTAAAAGAAAGAGGAGCAAGACTAAATATTAACTTTATTAAAAGTAAAAAAGTATTTTTATACTTTAGCTTATAATTTTCTAGTAATAACTAAAGATGTTATGCTAATAGATAATATATAGAGCATTTAAGATTATAATAAATCTAGAGTATAATTAGAAAAGATTAAAGACTAGTTAAGATAACATACTTAATAAACATTAAGCTAAACCTAATAAGAAAAGTTTTCTAATGTGTACTATTTTTCTAACCTTACACGCCTATGCCTTAGCTAAAGAGTATGCTAGAAATAAAAGTTAGGCTTAGAATATAGGTCTTCTAGTTTAACTACTTTAGTATTATAAAACATAAGCCTTAGAAGCTTTATGTTATAGTTCTATATATAAAGCAGATAGAATTAGGTAGCATCTAGTAGATCACCTACTACCTAACCATAAACTAGTCCATCCTAGAGCGGCCACTCCTAGACAACAGTAAAGGGGAACTACATCTAGGACTAAAGCCGCCCTAGATAGGGCAGGTAGAGGCTGTAGTAACAGCCCTACTAACACTAATTTATTACACCCCTATTATTAACAAAAGGCTAGTCTAGGTTGTAGTTAAAGTTAAAAAAGAGAATATTATACTTAAGTAAAATAGTAAAAAAATAATAAAAGTTTTAGTTTTATAAGAAAATTAGCTTATATAATAAAGTAGCATAAAAGTAGCTTATGTTAAGGTAGGTGTAGCTAATACTTCTCTTCTCTTGTCTAGTTAGACTATAATTAATGCAGGTAAAGTAGGTAGTTATAATGTAATGCTAATTAAGCATCTCTTAAACAAATGTTTACTACTTAATACTTAGCATAACAGCTACAGGCCTAATAGGCTCTTTATGTACAAGAAGGTTAGAAGGCAAAATAGCCCTAGCAGATATGTACATAAAGAGTAACATAGCAAGCAGATAGAAGGCAAAATAATAAAAAGTATAATATAGTAGGTAAGAAGTAAAAAGAAAGTATTATAGTAAATTAAAAGAGATTAAACCTAATTTAAGAAGGCTAAGGCTAGATCTGTTATTACATAAAGCTAAAACTAGATTTCTAGAGGCACTGCCTAAAATAGGATAGCGCAGGACTAATATAATTATAATAAAAGCAGACGTTACTAATAGGGCAAATATATAGTAGCAGGGCAGAAATGTACATGCACTGTACAGAGCAGTCTATAAAATAACCTTAGAATACATAATATTAACTACCTTACTTATTAAACTAGGCAGAATTAGAATAGAGATGCTAGATACAGTAGTAACACATAAAAGGGCTACATATAACTAGCTATAAGTAAAGATAGAATGTTGTAGGTTAACACTAATAATCTTAAGCAACTAACCTTATAACTTGTTAATAGACATAGTAAAACAAAGTTAGACTAGAATCTAATACTAAATAATTAAAAAAGGTAAAGCATTATTATTCTTAGACACTAACTTTACGCGCGTAATTATTTAAATCTAACTATTAAACTTACTGCTAAGTATTCTACTAATAAAGAAAGGCGCTGTCTGGCTAACAGTAGTGACTATAAGACGTGTGCTGTTACACAATCCTTGCCCTAGATCTAGATTGCGCAAGAGCATAATAGAAACACTAACCTTTAGTTATAAAGTAGACAGAGGAAGGCTAGGCAAATTAAAGCTCTAAAGTAGGTCCTTTAGTAGTTAATTAATTCTGTCTAAAAAAAATTAGTAAACCTTATTAGTAAAGTAGAATTTTATTACAACACCTTTAAAGCGCTTAAATAGAAAGTTA